AACTAACCATTAGATTTTCGTGGTTTTCTCTTCATGTAACGCAAATGAGTGTTAGTTTCTCCTAGAAGCAGGCTGAAAGTCTATATATTTGAAGACGGAAAAGAGTAGAAACTGGTATCAAATATATTTGATTTTTATCATTTTTTCGGGAATAATAAAGCCTCCATAACTACCAGTTTTTGTTTTTTAACAAATAAAGTTTATATCTTAAATTGCTCTCTCTCTTTGGGTAATGAAATTATAGCAATAATTTATTTATTGTTAAGAATAGATTTACTCGTCCCGAAATGTATCTGTTGTTGAAAAAAAAATCTACTACCAGTGTTTTTTTCTTTTCCGTCCCGCATTCAAGCCTGCCGCGGAGACAAATTTCTCTCAATATTTGATCCAGGAGTTCCCTTTTCTTCTGGATTGGGGTCACAATTACAAGGCTACGGAGTTGAGAAATGGTAGTCGTGAACCCAAAATTAGGTCGGCTATTCAACGACGGTTTTAAATTAAAATATGATATTTCAGATATTTATGATTTTCTTCTATTATATGGAATAGTTTTTTCTCATTTGTGGATTTTCTGAACTTTTAAAACTCCAAACTGGTAATCAATCATTGAAATTTTGAATATTTTTTTGCACTTAAAGAAGAAAGAAATAATAAATTTTTTACTTGAGAGCAACTTTCACTTCTGTTAAATAAAAGACATTTAAAACATGATTTAGATTTTTCTTTTCCATGTTTCTTTTTTCTTCTTTAAATTGATTTCTTTCCCCCCAGCTGTGAATAGACTCGTCTTTTAAAGGGAGATCAAGGACCTATGCATCCAAACAACGTCTTCTCCGCATATTATAACCGTTATTGAACAGCAGTCCCAATTTTGGGTTTACAACTACTAATGTTAAACTCCGTATCCTTGTTATTTTTAACCCACTCCAGAAGACAAGCGAACTCCTTGATCAAGTATTAAAAGAAATTTGCCTTCGTAGAGGACATTTTGATGGGACTAATCAGCCTTTGCGTTTCATGGAGAGGAAAACCACGCAATCCTCCCACGGTTAGCCTGACGGTCAACGGACTCTAACACATGATCCATCTATCACCGAGGATATTTAACGTCAGCCAGCACTGTTGTCAGTGCGAGCCCGGTCGGAATACGAATCAATCAGTCATTGCTGAGTTTTGAACCCTTTGCACCACATTGGGAGGCTAGCACTCTATCCCCTGAGCCACCATGGCTCTCTTCTCTCCATAGTAAAACCGGTTTTCTCTTGTTATTAGATTGGAAAATGATATATTGGAGAGAAACATTCCAACAATTTTGCCCATTTGCAAAATCGCCAGTTGGTTAGAACTTCGGATTTGTTTTCGATTTATGAAGTTTGCTTTTCGGCTCTTGTGGGTGAAATTCGTTCGTAGATTGCATGTGTAAACCCACTTGTTAGAGCAACTTCTTTTTTAATTGCTTGTAACTGATAAAAAATCTGCATATTTGAAAAATTATTTAAACCAGCGATTTAACGCATAAAATACCGATTATACCTCATGGTCAAATTCTTAGTCTGATTATGGTAAAGGAAGAATGGTTGTGCTAGGGCCCTCAAAAGAATTTTAAATTTTCAAACATCAATTATTAATTTTAAAAAAATGTTAAGTAATAAAATTAAAGAATTTAATAATAATTATTCCTTAACTTGTTTGTAGCTGATAAAAAATTTGCGCATTTGAAAAATTAGTTAAGTCAAATATTTAACAGATGAAAACCGATTTTACCATATCGCTGGTTCAAAACTAAAACGACACTTCTGCACTCACTTCTCATTCAAATAAGTGAGTGCAGAAGTGTCGTTTTAGTTTTGAATCAGCGATATAGTCAAGATTGGATTGACGCGTGAACAGAAAAGATTCTTATAACCCCTCATAAGTGAGTGCATAAAATTTTTAAGTTTATATGGTTTGATTTTTCTTACTTTATTTAATGTTTTCATTCTCTTAGCGGTTATTTTATAGAAATCTGCACTCAATTGGTTAATTGAAATGAAATCAATCATAATTTAGAGAAATTAAAACGCAATCAATGCTTTGCTTTTGGAATAATACATTTTTTACTTATAAATGAATAAATTTTATGAGATTGGCGTAGACATTCGGGATTTTCTTACATATAAGTAGAAAAATATAAAATTTACTAATTGATTTGTTATTAATTTTTCATCATTCATTGAACTGTCATATAAAATATGTTGTTTTTTTAATAATTATTTCTATCTATTTTTTGCTTTTATTTTTTTCTTTTCAAAAAAATTTAGTGAGCAGTAAAAATTTGAGGGCTCCAAATTTATATTTTGTCTATTAATATCCCGCTATTATAAACATTCACTTTAGAAAAAATTTATTTCTCAAAATCAATAATGCTTTCAAGCAAAGGTCTGTAATTTATTAGGGGAAAAAAAACTTCTGGTCTAGACAAAACTAAACTTCCTTCTCAATTTCCCCCATCATTTACGTCTCCGCTGTTAACCTACGCACATTGATGAATGGCACACTCATAAAATAGAATTAAGAAGATGCTTTCACTGACTTTAAATGGCATAATCACAAAAAAAAAAAACTTTCTGAGTTGCGTGGTAAAACGAAAATTTAGAGTTCTGTCTTCAAATTTAATTTGTACTCAATGAGGAATTATTTCTCAATCAGAAGGTTTAACGAAGCTACCCGTGCCATTCTTGAAATGCTTTTTTAAAAAATAATTAAAAATTTAAAAAGAACTAAAAAGCCGGAAAAACAAAATAAAGAAAAGATATAATCACGCATCAACCCACACGATTATATCCGTTATTTTTATTTTGTATTCTTTGATTAATATGTTCTTCTTTCGCTTCCATTTTTCCATTTTTTGGGGGAACCTCACACTATTTTATATTGATATATTTTGCTTTGGATTTATAAATACAATATTAGTAAGCTCTCTCTCTCTTTCTCTCTCTCTCTCTCTCTCTCTCTCTCTCTCTCTCTCTCTCTCTCTCTCTCTCTCTCTCTCTCTCTCTCTCTCTCTCTCTCTCTCTCTCTCTCTCTCTCTCTCTCTCTCTCTCTCTCTCTCTCTCTCTCTCTCTCTCTCTCTCTCTCTCTCTCTCTCTCTCTCTCTCTCTCTCTCTCTCTCTCTCTCTCTCTCTC